ATGAAATGATGTTTTCAAAAAGGAAATGGCTCACGTCAATGGAAACATGGGGGAGTCCGGTCCCGTTCAAGGCTGTGGGTCAGATGTGAAGCTGAAGGTGGCTCCTAACTGATGCAGCTTCAGGAACTGATGAACCAGGAAGGCCAGCCAGGAAGTAGGAAGATCAGTAGGGGGTGAGGGCAGGGGCAGATGAATCAACGTTCAGTAGGCGTACAGTCCTGTGGATCAAAGGACAACACATTAGCGGGGCAGCTACTGATGGCTCCACGGGGTAGCATGCAATATGGCGGGCCATTGGCTCAGGTCACAGAAACAGATCAGAGTCAGATGCACCATCCAGAAGCAAACAAGCTCCCCACAGTGTCTACTCCTATAGGAAGTCTCCCACACTCCCAAGGAACTCCATCAGGGCTGTGACCTGAGTAGGGGGCTTGCATTCCACCCTTACCTGCTTACAACTTCTTGGCTGCTGAGTTGATTACACCGTGTTGGGCAATGTCTCGGGGGAATCACTAGGCCTTAACTACCGAACCACTGAGAACCGGACCCAGCCAAATTGATACAAACTTAATTATCACAGGGGGTGTGAAAGTGTTCTGGAATTAGATAGAAATGATGGTTGCCCAAACCGTGAATGTGTGACAGATCCCTGAATCATTCACTTTAACCTACTTAATTTTTTTAATGATCAACAGACTTCATTTTGTATTTTAATTTCACCTTAATTTTAAAAAATGGAGCCAAAAATTAAAAAGTTAAAGAATTTTTACTATGATTTTTCAAAATTATACTAGCTCTTCGACCCAGACCAGAAATAAGTTACCTCGGTAGTGGGGGCTGTTTCCGTGACGGGTTCCCTGTGGAATTTTCCAGAATGCCAGTGGAGGTTCTGAGGAGGAAGCGGTGGAGGTGGCAGCAGCGCAGTTCCGGTCCGGGCGTGGTTATGACTGGGTGATGTGGCCTGTTCCTTGAGTGGGGCTTGTTCTCCGTCAACAGAAGCCACGGCAGCTGCTTCTGCCCTCTCCCAGGAAGTCTTCCGAGGACATGGGAGGGTGAGCTTTGCTTCCTTGGCATTGAGTGCTTCCTCTCCCAGAACAATACCTCCACCGCATGTGCCTGCCACCCAGAAATGACCATTGTCAACATCCGGGCCCCTTTGTTTTCTGTTTTCATTGCACTGTTGCACGGTATGGTCACATGGATCCCAACCCCACGTGACAGGGTGGAAGCACCTCACAGGGCTTCTGAGGGGAACCGAAGGAAGCTGGGAAGGGCAGGATCAGGGCTCTGCGATGGTTGGGGCGAGGTTTCCCATGGAAATCCTTTTAGGCCAGCCCTGGCTAGCCTTGAAGAAAGCACAGGTGTGTTGCTGTGACGGGAATTATTCCTCGAGGTGGCTTCTTTGCCCAGCCTTTTTCTTACCAATGTCATCTTCCATTCTCTAAACACTTCACCCTGTAATGATCCTGAATCCTTCAGAAAAAAATGTATCAAAACGATGCCTGTGAAGTCTCCCCAAAAAACGGTTTCCATAGGCTTCTGGGCTCGCCCCTCTGCCTGTTCCTGGCCCAGCGGAGAAGGCACCCAGCCCAGGACAGACAAGCATTCCTGAGAACGTGTCTGCTGGCTGGCATTTCTCAGGGCCAAGGAGGCTGCAGGGAGTGAGGAGGAAGTTTGGCTAACTCCAGCTGCCCACTGCCCAGCCTCAGCTTTCCCAGGAGGCTCAGGGGTCCTGGGGCTTGGAGGGGACAGGCGCACAGATGTGACAAGCGTGTGAATGCCTCCACTGGACCCCTGGGGACATGAGGCCCACACAGGGGGCTCCCAGGCTGGGGAGTGGCCCTGGGCCACTAGGAGACTCTCAGCTCCACCAGGAGGGTTGGGGAAGCTAACCAAGAGATGAGAAGCACGGCAGCAGCCCAGGCAGAGATCAGGGGTCAGAAATCAGAGGTAGTACACTTTATTGACCCGGTTCTCCCGACAGCTCTTGATCCCCCCCAAAGTCAACCCCGGGGGGGCGGCTTTTCTGTCATCTGTTGACAGACAGAGAAGAAGACGTGGCTCCTTACCATCCGCAGGGCCTCATACAGCAGAGCAGGTAGGCAGACGGGCAGGGAGGGCAGCCGCCAGACTGGGGAGCGGGGGAAGGGAGGTAGGGCCGAGGGGTACAGTGCTGGGTATGGGCTGGGGGCCCCGAGGCCTGGCCAGCCCCCCCCCCCCCAGTTAAGGTTGTAGTGGTTCACAGTGACACTGCCTTCCGATTTGACAGAGAGGCGTCTGCCTACGTGCCCTAGCCCCTCGGTCTGCCTCACCTAGCTGGGGTCCGGTGAAGCCAAATGTCCCTCCCACCCCCCACCCCTCACCCCCTCAAAGGGACAAACGAGAGGCCTGGTTTTCCCCTGATATCCCCCCAGGCTATTAGGGGAGGGACCATTCCCTCCCGGCCTAGAAGCTTCTGAGCATCTCAGCAAGCTTGCCCACCGTTGACTGGCCAATAACAAAATGTTTCTGAGACCCACGAGCCGGCTGGGGCCATGGAGCAAAAGCAGAAGAAAAACCTGGTTGGGTCTGGGCTTAAAAAGGTAGCTGGTCCTCCGAGGAGAAGCCGGGTGGGCATGGGCAGTGGTGTCTGTCTGCAGTGCCCTGACTGGAGGGGGCAGCTCATGGCAGCAGGGCTGGTAGGCCTGGGACCAGGGAGGGGACCGGGGCACAATGCAAAAAGCAGTGATACACAGGATGTGGCAGGTGGCCCTCGGGCCGGGCCTGGGTTTGGAGGGCAGCTGGGGCTGCCAAGGACATGTCTGCCAGGCGGGCACCCCATGGGCTGGTCAGGCCTTGTGGCTGCCATTGGCGGGTGGCTCCTTGTGACCTGGCGTATAGTCCGAGGTGGGCTCGAGCCCAAGCATCTGTCGCTGCACCAGCTTGGCATAGAGGCCGCCCTGGGCCAGCAGTTGGTGGTGGGTGCCCTGCTGCACCACGCGGCCCTTGTCCAGCACCACGATGAGGTGTGCCTGCTCCACCGTGCTCAGGCGGTGCGCGATGACCAGCACCGTGTGCTTCTGCAGGTTGCCGTGGATGGCCTGCTGGATCTGCGGGGACACGTGCAGGCCTCACACGCCGACCCCCCCACCCCATCCCCCACACACACTCTAGCACCTCCCAGACTCAGTGGACCTCTGTGGAATCAGGGGGCTCAGGCAAGGTCTCGCTACGAACCGATCAATCCACACACGGCTAGACCCATAGGCGTCACCCGGCCTGCCTCACTGAGCCACCCATGGGAGGGGTGTGTGTCCATGTAGGGGCCTGAGAGGCCCATGTCTCTCTGCTATGCCCTTTCATTCCCAGCAATCCTTGCCCCCCACCCCCCACCCCCAGCATGCCCAGGAAGACCCACAGCAGATGGGTGGGCCGAGGCCTCTGGCTCTCTCTAAGACCCTTCCAGCCCCCATCTGGGTATGGTGGGTGGGGCTCTGGTCCCCAGGCTCTGGCTCCCCCCACCCACACCCACACCCACACCCACTCACCATGTACTCACTCTCCGCGTCCAACGCGCTGGTGGCTTCGTCCAGGATGAGGATGGGCGGGTTCCGCACCAGAGCCCGGGCCAGGGCCACCCGCTGCTTCTGGCCACCCGACAGCTGGGCGCCCTTCTCCCCAGTCTCTGCCGGGTAAGGCAGAGGGGCAAGGTCAGCAGGAGCCAGAGGGCAGGAGCAAGGAGACCACTGACCCCACCGCCCGGCCACTCCGGACTAGCTTTCTAATCCCAAGGGCACAAAATGACAGCCTCTCTCCCTGACCAGGGACCCCAACCCACAACAAACACACCGCCATCTAGCGGTCTCCATTCGGAGCACCCCTTGCCCTGCCAGTAAGAGGCAGGCAGATGAAGACCTACCAAGACGCCATTTCCCACTTGTAGCCACAGCCCAAAGTTGGGGAGGCAGGGGGGTGGGGCACAACCTGCACCTTGGCTCCTGCCGCAGATGGGGGCGGAGAAAGGCCCAGGGCTTGCAGAGCCTGCGTGCACACCCACCTGGCTGTGCGAGCTGTGATGGCTGCTTCTCCAATCCACCTGGTTCAGGTGCCTGGCTGTTTGGCCAGACCCTCACCTGGTGGCTGTTACCCATTCAAACTAAACACCTTTGCCTCCAAGCGAACTCTGACCCCTGCTGACCTCAGGTGGGTTCACCCTGAGCTTTCCAAGGGCTGAGCGTTTGGAAGTCAACAGCCAAGCTTTTCTTCCAAGGCCTCTCAGGGTGGACCCCCGTCTCCATCCCTTGGTGAACAGTGAGTCTGTGAACCAGCTGCCCTCCCTGGGGGCTCCTATCCTGTCACCAGAACCCAAAGCTGGGGGGGCGGGGGGCGGCCATCAATGAGATAAATGCCCACAGAACCCAGATGCCAAGGAGCAGGGAGGCACCCCATGTCTGAATAGGCCAAGATCACCAGCTTCCTGAGTTAGGCTGGGTTTTTTCACAGACAGGTCTTGCACAGTGTAAACGAGGTGTTCCCTGTTCCTCCTGTAAAGGGGCAAAACTCAGAAACCAAGCTCCCCACATGGAGTCAATTCGGACTGACAGCAACCCTCCAGGGCAGGACAGAGCTGCCCCTGGGGGTTTCCGAGACTGAAACTCTTTAAGGGAGTTCGCTCCTGCGAAGAGGCTGGTGGGTTCAAACGACTGCCCCCGGGGTTAGCAGGCCGGAGTGTAAGCACGGGCTCCTGTCAAGGGGCAGGGGGATGAACAAGTGCGCACAGTTGCATGAGGACACAGCAGGAGGGTGGAAGAGGTTTCAGTGAGAGTGAGGGCATGGATAAGACTTTCCTTTGGGGGCCATTGAACAGCGCTTGTTTCAAGAGTCTGAGCTCCTACTCTGAGGTCAAGGACCGCTGGTGGCACAGTGGGTAAAGCACGCAGCTGCTAAACAGAAGGTCAGCGGTTTGAAGCCACCCTCCGCTCCGAGAAGGAAAGGTTCCGCTGTCTGCTTCTACAACGTGGCAGCCTGGGCCCCCTGGGGGTGGCCCTGCCCTGTCCTACAGGGTCGACTCTCTGGCTATGGGTTGGGTTTTTCTCTCTGGTGACACAGGGCTCAAAGCACTTCAGTGCTGACCACGAGGCCAGTGGTTTGCACTCAGCAGCCCGTCCCTGGAGAAGGCTGTGCCGACTGCTTCCTAGATTTACAGCCTTGGGGACCCAACAGGGCAGTGCTTCTCCTCTGCGGGCATCGCTTGGAGCCACAATGGAGCTGATGGCAGTGGGTTTGATTGGGGGTTTGGGACTTTTGAGCTAACAAGGTCAGAGAATGTATCAGCACGCAGAGTCATGATCTTTTTTTCTCCCAGGTCCTCACAGGCACACCGCAGCCTGCAGGGTCAGGTTACTGTGAGCGCAGGGAGGGCGTGCTGGCTTCCCGACAGCAAGAGCTCACTGCCTGTCTTGTGTCCCATTTCGTTTCTTCTCAATCACGTATCACACAGGGTCGATGTCACCTTTCCAGGGCGGGGGACCCCAAACTGTGTGTTTTCCGGCTTACTGGCTGCGGGGTGGAGGTGGTGTGTGTGTGCATGTGTGTGTGTGTGTCTGTGAGTGTGTGAGTGAGTGTGTTAGAGGGAGAGCCCCAGCTGCCTGGAATCAAACTTCAAGATGTCTCTGTAGTCGCCTGGGGTCTCTTGACACTTCCCTGGTCTGTTCTGCTCTGAGTCCACCTGTTACTTAAAGGATCCGGCACTGAAGACATGGAACCGATATGCTCCGGGGGTGGGACGGGGTGGGGAATGGGCGGCGGCGCAGGGTCCCAGCGCACCTGTGCCGTAGCCATCGTGCAGCTCCAGGATGAAGCCGTGGGCATTGGCCTTCTGCGCCGCCTCCACCACCATCTCGAAGGGCACCGCGGGCAGCCCGTAGGCGATGTTGTCGGCGATGGAACGGGCAAAGAGCACGGGCTCCTGGCTCACCAGGGAGATCTGTGGGGAGGAGTGGGCGTGAGGGGTGGGGAGGTCATCCGTAGGGGAGGACGGGGCGGGGAGCGGGGGCACACCGAGTTCAGGCCTGTGAGGGAGGAGGTGGGCATAAGGGGGGGCACTGAGGAGGTCCATGGGGAGGATGGGGAGGCAGGTGGGCATGAGGGGGTGACTCAGGGCATCCGTGAGGAGGGGGAGGGCACCGAGGAAATCCGTGGGAAGGAGGTGGAGCACCTTGAGATCTGTGGGGAGGATGGTGGACACAGGTGGGGTGGGGGTCAGGGGTCAGCTGGTTGTCGCCAGGACCCTCTGCTAGCACCAGTCAGGCTGCCTCCCCGGGGTGGGTCATGGGTAGAAACTTGATCAGGGCCTGGGAGGCCAGCCTGCCCAGCTGCTAAGTTCCTGACTGGCCTCCCTCCAACAGCAAAGGCCTGGCTGTGAGCCGGGGCCTCTGCCTCTGCAGACCAGGAAGCTGGCTCGGGGCCCTGTGGCCACAGCTGGCCCCCACCCCCCACCCCCCACAGTGCCTGCCCACACTCCTGTGAAAAAGGCTCACAGGTCCTGCAGGCCTGGAACCCCCTTCTAGAAACCGGTCTTGACCGAAAGAAAGGAAAAAAGCAGAGAGGATGTTAATGGGCTCTGTAAATAGCAACAACAAAAGGAAAAAAATTAAGCAACACAAAGATTTTTTTTTTCTTTTCAGAAATAAGCTAGCTGCCCGTGAATTGGGGGTGGATGAAATAAGTGCACTGCAGCTCATGAGCTCAAGTTACAGAGGGGTACACACACACACACACACACACACACACACACACACACACACACACACGGTGGCAGGGGTATGTTTGGGTTTAAAACATGTATCCACGTGGCCGCCTTCACAGAACCAGTATATTTATAGGCGGACCAGGAGTGGGGAGGGATATCGAATCAGCTGTCACACTGGCTAGCGCCGTGGGGTGACATGTGTAGGGTAAGGCAGAGGGAAGTTGCACTACCAGATAATGAAATCCACCCCTACATATGGGAGCACACTCAGATTGTGGTGTTTTACTCTTTGGGGATTATATAAGTATCGACTTAAATGCAGGAGAAATACAGCACATCATCAACAAAGGTTATCTGTCACTGGCCTGTATGTACCGGAAACAGGGCTCGCCATCTTTTCTTTCACTGTGTTTGTGCTGTGAATACACACGGCAAACACCTGCTCCCCTGAGGGGAGACACCCACTGCCATCCACGGGCTCTGACTCGCTGGGGCCAGTGCAAAGTCAGACCCCACCCCAGGTTTCTAAGATGCTAAATCTCCACAGCGGCAGCGGCCTCGTCTTTCTCCCCTGGAGCTCCTGGTGGGTTTGAACTGCTGGTGCTGACGTTGGCAGGGCAGTGCTGAGCTTGCAGCACTTCCAGGGCTCCTCGTGACAGAGAGACGGACAGCCACCAGACAAAACAAAGCTAGCTCCCACTCAGGAACGCCGTGCGCTTGACACGGGTTCCAGTCTTCGCGCTATGTCAGTCATTTTGTGTGTGTGTGTGTGTGCGTGTGTGTGTGTCAGTCATTTTTACCGATCTGCACACCCTGCTCTCGTGCACTTACCCCCTTTTAGCTCCCTGCCTCTTATCCTCCTCACCCAGGTGTGAGAGTGACCACCGTTCACCTGGTCCCACGTAAGTGATGACGGAAGGAGGCAGTACTTCAAGGGTGTCATCCTTGACTCTGGAGTTCACCAGCTATTTTGTTTAAAGGCGACTTTGAGGGATCGTTTTACTTTCAGGCCAAAAGTATCTCGGGGTCTAAAGAGTATCACGAGTTTTGGGGATTCCTCCAGGCTCGTGGATTCAATAAGGCTAGATTTTTTTTTTTTAAGAATATCAAGTCTTTTCACTGTTTTCTACACGTTCCACTGTTTCTGTCAGGAGCCAGCTAGTGTGTCCCCGATCAGAACAGTCGCAGGAGGTGGCTGGGCACCATCTACTTCTTCTGATCTCAGGAGGCTCCTGGAGACAAACGGTCCTTTGTCTGATTTGGGGTTTCCTTTGATCTCTGTTGGCCCAGACAGAAGACATCAATACTTGTATCTTAGATGGATGAAGGTAAGCTTGTAAGACCCAGGGGTACCCACCAAACAAGGTGTCAAGACGTAAGCTGGAAGCCCAACAACAGGCCAGTGGACTGAGATGCTGGCGCCTACGTCTTCAGACAAACAGACAAGTAATTGTGGCGACTGCGAGAACGTATCAGCACCTGTTGGGCTTAATATCTTCAGCCATGAGAGAAATGCAACTTAAAACCCTAATGGGCTACGCTCCACACTGGCCAATTTGTGAGGATTCCAGACGGGACAAGAGTAAGTGTTGACAAGGTGGGGAGTTGGGACGCTGGCCGAGGACTAGTTGGGAGCCAGCACACTCAACAACGGCTGTGGCAGTTTCCTAAGCTGCCCTTCTCGAAGGAGAAACCCGGGTGGGGGGTGAGGGGGGGGCTGTCCCTGTGCACACACACCAAGAAACGTAGACATGAACAGCCACAGCAGAAGTGATGTCGATGATGCTACAGGAACTTATATCTTTGCTCACAAATGGGTGACACCAATTCTGGGTCACTGAAGTTAGGCTGAGACATCTAATTCAACCGCAGTTGGAGTGCTATTTCAAATGGGAAAGTGCGTTTACACCTGTGGTAGACTTTGTTCAATGGAAAGTTTCGCTGTATTTTACCACCAGATTAAAAAAAAAAGGAGCATCATTTAAAAACTGAATGTATTTAAAATAAAGCACAAAGGAAAACATGTCTGTAATATATCAGGCTTTGATTTGAATGGAAAGGCCCGTCCTTAAAGATCTTGTGCTATAACTTTTAGAACCATACAAATAAGAATGCTTTTAAGTGGACTTAAAAGTAGGTGTGTACATATTTTTAATCAGTATTAGTTGGAAAAAGTTTTGTTTGTTTTTCAGTTGGGAAAATGTTAAAAACCACCACATAATATAAACCATTATGACATCTTCTTTAACAAAGAAAGAAAGAAAGAATTTCCACAGCAGCTGTGTCAGTAATGGCGGGAACAAGTCCGCTCCCATCAAAAGCAGGCTGGTGGGGAGGCGCCCGTGTGGCAGAAGCCATCTGGCAGTGAAGATGCGTGAGTGACATGCACAGGGTGAGCATGGGCCACTCTCACGAACAAAGCTGAGTGGAAGACAAAAGACCCTTTCTCTGCCCGCCCCTCAATACAACCCCAAAGCAGGTCACATACCGTGGTATGGGTTTGGAGGTGCACACAGCAGTGGCCAAGCTAAAGGAAATGATCATGAAGGTAAAATAGGGGCTCAGGCAAACACCTGCGTGCCTGTGGCAGCGAAACCATCTCCTGTCAACTTGAGCAAAGGGGTGGAGTCTAGCCTGTCAATCAGGTCATAGCCAATGAGACCTCTGTGTGGGCGTGGCCTTCTCCTTAGGATTTGGGGAATGCCTGTCTTCCTCATGGGAGGCAGGACACATTCTCTCTCTGCTTCCTCTTCCTGGGAGACATTCCTGTTGACAAGCCACATGGAGCTCTGTGGATGGCAGTCAGAACCTTGGAGCTGGAAGAGCCATGTGGAGACCCACACCAGTGCTAAGGTGCTTCCACCACCACTGGATCCACAAGACTTTCCACCCACTGGCCTGTGATCTTCCTGCACTCGGCATCATTGCATGGATTGTGTGGGTCAGAAGAGGAATTTACAGACTGGTATCCAAACATGTGGGTTAATATCGGACTTATGGACTTGATCTGGACTGGCCTGCGATGTTTTCCTAATATACAATTACTCTTTATATACAGTTCTCCCTTATACACATATGAGTCTCCCTAGATTTGTTCCTCTTGTCAACTCGGACTCACACAGTGCCAGTGTGGACAGTCCTACTGATTACAAAGCCCTAAAAGCGAAACAACCCCATTGTCCACCTGCGGACAAACGGCTAAGCGAACTGTGGTAGAGCCGCCCAATGGAGGATGATTCCGCCAGACAGAAAGACCAGAGGCACAACCACTCACCCCTGGCCATCACAGCACTGCTCATAAGAGCGAGAAGATGGGAACCGCTTTGGCCCAAACACACGATGAAATCCGACGCAACTTTCAGGAAAAATGAGGCGTCTGAGACACCTCGTGCTGTAGGTGATGCTGAGCGAAAGAAGTCACTCACGAGAGGACCGCTGCACTATGGGACGGCTGTCGTAAACCGTCGAGAAAAGGTTTTCACACGAAAAGAAACATTCTCTGATGGCTACCAGGGGTGGGCGGGTAAGTTGCTCGCTAGAGGGTAGGCGTGTAGTAACTTGGGTCAAGGAGAAGGAAGGAAGGAGGGAGGGAGGGTGGAGGGAGGGGAAAAAGTAAGGGAGGGAGCAAAGGAAAGAAAAAGAGCTACTGAATTCTACAAACACTAACACATGTGAAAGGCATTCATCAAAAAACGGTCCCCTTTAAAGCCTATATGTACCTCTACTTTCCAACAACTAGTGAACCATTCCATTTTAAATATATACATATCATTAAGATCATTCAGTAAAGCGCACATCTAAATCTTTATAAAATGTAGCATTGTATTGTATTGCAAACACTTCTACGTCATCCACTACTTTCTAGACTTTTCTGCTCCGGGAAAATGTACAGTCTTGGAAACCCTAGGGGAGTTCTCTGCCTTTCCTTAGGCTCAGAACTGATGGCAGTGGCTTTGGTGGTAGGTTTGTTTTTTTCTTTTCTAGAACGTGTTCAGCAGAGAATACCAGAAAGGTGTGTGTGTGTGTGTGTGTGTGTGTGTGTGTGTGTTGTGTTAGGGGGGCCTGGGGCGGGCGGGGTAGGGGGTCTCTTAAAAATGGAGCACCGCTGTGGGCTTGTTGGTCTTGCCACTCCCCCACCCCCTTGCCCAGAACTACTGAATCTGAACTTGTTAGGGTGGCTTAGCAACCTGTGTGGACAGCCCTCTGGTGGCAAATGCAGGGAGCGAGGCTAGATGGCTACTGAGGTTTTCTTCCAGGTGATGAGAAAGTTCTGGAACGAGATAGTGGGGATGGCCACACCATACAGTGAGTGTGTTATGAGTATTTTACTATACACACAGTCTTCAAAAAAAGAGGTGAATGTTTTGAGAATGATGAGGGCAATGAATGTACAAATGTGCTTTACACAATTGATGTACGGTTGGATTGTGATAAGAGTTGTATGAGCCCCTAATAAAACGATTTAAAAAAAAAAAGAGGTGAGACGGTACCTCTGTGAGAAGAAACTAGCCACAGGGTGGGTGGGCTGGGGGTGGGGGCTTCCAGAGTGTCCTCTGTCTTGACCTAGGCAGTGTGACATCGGTGCCCGTTCTAGGGGGCATCCCTGACTCTGGAGTGCTTGTCTCTGTGGAGAAGGGCGGCGGCCCAGCTACCTACCACTCTGTGCAGGTACTTGTGGTCATAAGCACCGATGGGCTTCCCGTCCAGCAGCACGCGGCCCCCGTCCACCGGGTAGAAATTCTCCAAGATGTTGACGCAGGAGCTCTTCCCGCTGCCCGAGGGCCCCACCAGGGCCGTCACCTTGCCTGGGGTCAGGCTGAAGGAGACATTCTGCAAGAACACGCAGGCACACGTAGGGGGTGGGGGTCAAGGGCTCGGGGTCCCCTGGACAGGAGGCTATGGCCTCTGCCCAGCCCGCCCCTCCTGCTCCCCCAAATGGCCCCTTTTGTGAGCACCCTGCTCTTGTTACTCCTGCATGGGGCATTCTTTTTGCAGAGCCCCACCTGGGCCCCTCTTCTCTTTCTGAGCCCAGCTCAAGTGTCACCTCCTCCGAGAAGCCCCCTGGAGCTGCTTACACCCCCGCCCCCTCGGTCCACTTTATTTCTATTGCTTAAGAGCTGAAGCCATTCTGTTAACAATCCAACTGGGAGGAGTGCTGGTGTAGCCGGTTACTGCAGGGTCAGGGGATCCAACCCCTCAGCCACTCCCCAGGAGAAAGATGAGGCTTCCTTCCAGATTCCGTGCCAGGAACCCGATGGGAGTCCTCCTACGCCGTCCGACAGGGCAGCTAGGAGTCGGAATGGACTGAGGGCCGTGGGTGTGGTTTGACCGTGGGTGTGGTTTGACTGTGGGTGTGGTTTGACTGTGGGTGTGGTTTGACTGTGCTACGTACACGCTCAGTCACGAATGGACTTTTCCTGTTTTCTCCCCAACTCCAGGAGGGGGGATGTCAGAACTTAAAGATCCCCAGATAGCTCAGGCCGGCCCCGGGTTGCCCTCTTACCTGCAGGACCTGGGTGTGGGGCCGAGTGCGGTAGGTGAAGGTCACGTTCTCAAAGTCCACCCGGCCCTCCAGGTGGTCGGGGGCCAGCGTCCCATCATGCACCATGGTCGGCTGCCGGTCAATGAACTCGAACACCTTCTCGGCGGCACCCACGCCTTGCATCAGGCCGCTGTAGACAGAGCCCACCGACTGCGGGTGGGAGGGAGACAAATGCCCTGTCCCAGGGGCACCCCTGCACTGGGGCTTGCTCATGGGGCTGGAGGGGGGTGGGCATCCTTGGGGGAGCAGAGAGCTCGAGGAAGGAGTAGCATTTCTAGGGGAGGCCTGGGGGCTGTTGGCATGCCCCTTCCAAAAGAGAAGCCAGACTTTCTGGATGAGCCTGTAGACCGATCATCCTGAGATCCTCTCTACCCCTCCAATCAAAAAGGGGCCCCAAAGGGCTTCTTAAAACTCAACAGTACTGAAGAAGTTTAGTTCAACTAGGTCAGCTTTGAACATGCTGTTCTTGTACCACCTGTCCGGTGCGATGAAACTGACAATAGCAATAGCTGGTGATACAGAGGCTGCGGGGGTGGGGTGGGGGATGGGGGAGGTAGTGCTGGGGCAGGGGGGGTGGCTCATGTTAATGATGGAGGAACAACTCTGAAAAGGAGAGTGAGAATGTAGTCCACACCCCTGACCGGTACAGGTAGACCGGTGGATGGGTGCTGAATGGGTGGATGCTTTGTACACGAGCCTTGGTGCCCCAGTAGGTTGTGTATTGTGCTGCTAGCTGCGAGGTTGGCGATTCAAACCCACCAGCCACTCCTCGGGAGAAAGGGGAGGCTTTCTACTCCTGTAAAGATTTACAGCCCTGGAAACGCCCAGGGGCAGTTCTACAGTGCTGCACTGAGTGGCTGTGAGTCAGCAGTGACTGAGGGCCATGGGTGTGGTTTGAAGCACTGACCTTTGTCAGAGCAGCCTGCGAACCCATGTGTCCAGGGTCCTGGGCGCTAACTCTCTGTCCACCCAGCAAGGGAGGAACCAGGCTCCACGGAGGCACTGGGAGCAGAGAGCAGTGATGGAGCTCCGGCCTTTCGGCTGCCCTGGCACTTTTAATCCCAATTTTAAAATCGAGTCTAAACTGATGTCATCTATAAAGAAATACGACCTCTAGTGCGACCTCTAGGACACTGGCTGGCTTGACATGCTGTGAGGGGACCCTGCTGGTGCCCGGCTGCCAAGCAGAGGGCTCGAGGTTTGAGGCTACCCAGAGCTTCCTTGGGAGGAAGGTCAGCTTCCAAGATATCGGCGGAATGCTTGCACCTTATAGCCCATCTCTCATGGCGCCATGAATGGATTCTGACTCATAGAGGCCTCACGGGACACAGACCAGCTGCCCCTGTGGGTTCCTGGGGCTGGAAGTCTTTATGGGAGCAGAAAGCCTCATCTTTCTGGGGAGGACAGGCTGGTGGGGTCCAAGTGCCGGCCTGGGGGTCAGCAACTAATACGTAACCTGCGATGCCCTCCATGAGGGTGGCATCCTGGGAAGCACTCTGGGGGTTAAAAAACAAAAGAAACCTGCAAGTCTGGAACTGAACCCCCTCTTCACAAAAACCCCAAAACCTCCCCAGAAAATCAACCGTGGTTGATGAAAAGGAGAGCAGTCGCGGCATCACAGTTCAGAGGTCGGGAGTAAAGGAGGGGCTAGAACAGGAGAAATCAGAGTGGAAACGGAGGTGCCCTGGGGGGCTGCCGGGGATGAGCCCAATCCAAGTGCAAGAAACTGCTGAAATCCGCCCTGTAAGCCTTTAGCCAATTCACAAGAAGTTTTTAGAGAAAACAGAAACCCTTGGGGGCAGAGTTCCTGTCCCACAGGGTCACTCTGAGGGGCTTTCCTGGGCAGGGGGCAGGGAGCATGGCGGGCAGGCGGGGTGGGCCTGGGTTTGTGTTGCTCACAGAGGGGGCAGGCTCCACAGCATACCCATGTTGACCCCCGTCTTGTCTCGTCCTCACTC